GTGACATAGTACTAATTTATGAAGTAGTTCTGAAAAAAAAAAAAACAAACAAGGAAAGGGAGTTTGAGGGAGGAAGATTGTCCTTGTGAAGAGGATGCATCTTGTACTTCCCAAAGTCACAGAATGTTAGGTTGGAAGGGACCAGAGTGGGTCATCTATTCCAACCTCCCTGCTCAAGCAAGGCCAGCCTAGATCCCTGCTCAAGCAGGGCCATCCCAGAGCCCAAAATGTTGGGATATTTCTTTTTCTCTCTTTTTAATCACCATCATTGGTTAACCCTCCTGCTTGTTTAACAGAGTCAAGAACAGGGAATGACTACCCAAACAGCATCTCTTTTTGTGCCTGAACTATCCCAGGTTGGAACCTCAGTTGTAAGCAGTTTGGGAATCACAGAATCATCGGAGTTGGATGAGGTCCTTGAGGATCATCTAGTCCAGCTCCTGGCCCTGCACAGGACATCCCCAAGAATCACACCCTGTGCCTGAGAGCGCTCAGTGTTTTGCAGGGAAGGTGACTGTCTTTTGATTGGTTTCATATGCCATCATATTCCATCAGTGTGGAACCACAACTTGTGGCCAAGGCACCTAGGAATTCCTGCAGCACAGCAGAACACTTTTCCCAGAAAGACCAGCCAGAAATTCAGGCCAGACATTAGTGACTGTAAAGGAGAAGATGCATATTTGCCTCTGAGCTGGTAACTGCTGTGGGTCTGGTCTTATTTCCTGTAAGTTCATCCCAAACCCTCCCGATTCTGATACTCTATCTGCTTTGCCAGGAAATTCTCGTGTCTTATTGTGTCTATTTTTTGGGACATCAGCTCTCAGCTTTGTTTGCAGCTCCCTGTGGGTTGTGTGTTTGAGTGTTCTCACAAGCAGCTTTTTCTCTTCCTTCTCATGCTAATGATGTCTCTGTTGCCCACAGAGCTCCGGGCTGTTAAAATGAGGTTTTGTTGCTCTAATCACTGTTCTTATCTGGGTACACAAGTCTCAACTGAGAGAAAGTTTCCATGTAACCAGGGAGGTGGCTCTGCAAGAAGAAAGGGTTGGAGATGCTCTGGGAAGCTCTTTTTTGGGCCACAGTGTAAGTTATCCCTCTGCTCCTGGCCAAGGGTGTTCCGTGGGCTGTCAGTGATGTTCCGTAGGGAATTGAGAGAGGTTTTCAGCATTGTCCTGAGGCTCTCATGTAATGATAGAAGCCACATGGAAAATCTTGCTGTTGGCTCTTATTCCTCACCTCCTCATGCACAGGAGCATCTGTTGTGAGTTATCAGAAGGTTCTCAGGGCTGTTGCTTCCTGCTCTCTCAGTCATCTAGAACATTTCCACTTGAGTATGAGGAAGAATTTCTTTCATGTGTAGTCACTGAGCATTGAACAGATTGCCCGGAGAGGTCATGGATTTTCCCACACTGGAGATACTCAGGAACCCTCTGGATGCAATCCTGAGCCATGTGCTCCAGAATGGCCCTGCTTGAGCAGGGAGGATGACTCCAAATTATTATTTCTCTTAGATTTTCTGATCTTTTACTGCTTAAAATCTGTTTCATCAAAGGTAAAAATCAAGGCCCTGATCCACTGAAAGAAACAAACCCCAAACCTTACGACATTTCTTTGCAAGACTCAGACCAGATGACCCATTGGGGTCCCTCTCAACCTAACTGATTCTGTGATTCCTCCTTTTCCCTCCTGGTTGCAGGCAGCAGATATGCATTCCTCAGCCAGGTTGCAAACAGCCTTCACATGAAAGCTGTTTGTGTTCTGCATTTGGGGCTTGGCTGGCTCTACTCTGTCTGTAGGAATCCAAGTGCACACTGTGTTCCCTGACAGGGAGGCAGCAAGGTTGGAGCTTGTGCTGGGGTTTGGTGTTAACAGGAAATGTTACCTGACTCTCAAGGGTCTGAATAGCTCAGAGACACAGCATTGATAGAGCTGAGCCCCTGGGGGAAGTGCATGAGGCAGAGAGCAATAAAGTGAATTAAAGTGCAAGCAGGAGGTGTGGATGCAGTTTGGGACAGGTCTGTGTGTTATGCAAACCTCTGGTGTGATGCAGCTTTGCACAAAGCCTTAGGGGAAGGACCTGCAGTCAGGTGCTGCTTTTGTGCTGCCTAATGGGCTCACAGTGAGAGAAAACACCTTGAAACTGCAAAATTCCTGCTCATTTATGCTAGCACATGGTACTTGGAGCCTGTTGCAGTGGTTGGAAGTCTTTGGAATCATATAATCAGGGAATATCTTGACCTGGAAGGAGCCCACAAGGATTCTCAGTCCAACTCCTGGTCCTGCACAGCCCCAACAATTTCACTGTGTCTGAGTGTGTTGTCCAAGCTCTCCTTGAGCTCTATCAGGCTTGGGGGACTATGTCCTCTGTGCTTTGCTTTGAGACAGAGTTGAAATAGCTTTTGCAGTGTGTTAGTTGGGCATCAGGCATGATCTGAAACACCATGTGTGTCACTGTCCATGAAGGTCTGGAGGACACCATTTTGCTTAGGTTCCCTTCCCTTTAAAATCAGTACACACACAGAATCATCAGGGTTGGGAGAGACCTTTAAGATCAGTCAAGACATACCCTCTGCCAAGCTTGGGGTTGTTGGTTTAGGTCTCTTGGTGCTGATAACCTTCTACAAACTGCAGAGCAAGGTATTTTTTTCTGCTCTTTGCTTGGCTGTCGAGTTGCAGAAGGGCATGAGGGCTTTGTACAAAGTGACTTGTTCCACTGATAACAAGATGTGCAACACGTGCCTCTCCTGCCTGCCAAAGAGCCAAGACTCTGCATATGCTGCAGAATCCCAGAAAAGAACGCAACTTGCTGTGTGCAGGACTTTGAAGGCTGTTTCAGAGCAGGATTTAACTTACTGGGAATCTGTCCTTGAGCACAGAGCTGCGAGGACACGCTGCTGTTCAGGGGAATCTCTTCTAATCTGCAGGGTGTGTCATTACTCCATGGAAGCTGTGAGAAAGAGCCAAGTTGTGGGCAGAGGAATGTATGCTCACATACCATGGTTCCCACCAGTTTCTGGTCCTGAGGAAAAAGAATTGACATTGAATTTGGTTCTGGTTTTAGTCTTTCCTGTGCCTCCTGTAGGGAGTGAAGCAATCCTTGGGGTTGTTTCAGCACCATGTGCTGTGGTGTGAGACAGGACACAGCCCTGCAGGGCATTGTGGTTCAGCACGTGACCTGAGCTTGCATCACCCTGTGGAACTTTTCAGCATGAAGTTATTCTCATTGGAATATTTCTCTTAGCTTTTTCTCAGCTTTTACTGCCTAAAATCCATTTCAGGAGAGGTAAAGTTGAGGACTTGAGCCATTAAAATAAACAAACCCCAAACCCTACGGCATTTCTTTGCCAGACTCGCTCTGCTGTCCCTGAGTTCTGAATCAAACATCAGTTTGAGTGTTGTAGTAGCTGAAATTTGCCATGTAATCACCAACTGAAAAACTTTTCTCTCTTTAGCACATCTTTGCTTGGGGAAAATACTCTAATACTTAATAGTTTCTTAGTCCTCTGAAACTTTAGGCAGATTTGGGGGGTTTTAAAGGAGAAATCAGGTAATCAATTGAGCATTGCCGAAAGGTTTTGGTCCCTTTGAAGTGATGGCTAAGATTATGGAGCAGAATTCCGATCAGAATTGCAGGAGGTGTTTGCAGAAATAGTACTTGCATAATCAGAGCGAACAACACTTTTATGCAATGATTGCAAAATCTTTCACTTCAGGAATGTGGTTAATGCCAATGAAATATGAGGAAGTTGTGCTATCACAGGGCTGAGAGGCTGTCAAATGGAATTGAAATCACTGGGAAATATGCTCCTGGTAAATTCCATGAGCTTTGTGGCATACCCTGAGTAACTCGCACTTTACTGTTCAATTAATTGCAACTTGGCTAAAAATAGAACCTAAATCTTCTCATCCATAACCCAGTACCTCATCCATTGCTCCATGAGCAATGGATAAGCTTCTCATCATCCTAGGGAAGGAATGGGATTTCTTCTTTCCTCCTAACTTATGATGGGAATATTAGAGTTTCTGTGGTTGAGGTAACTTCTCATTGCTAGAGAAAGGGACCAAACTGCACTTCAGAAAGGAAAAAAGACCAAACACAACCACATAGACACAAAAAAACCCTCAACAAAACCCAAACAAAAGTACTCTAAGCTTCAGTTTATGGTCGAGGGGTCTCAGATGCATGTGTTTTTGTGGAACATTCTTTGCTAAATATATAAATATGAGAGGGAACAGCAACAGAACTAACAAATAAACAATCAAACCCCCCAAAACCAACCAACTACAGCAGCTTCCCCTCTTCTCTTCTTTGCCTTCTTGTTCCCTTCAATCCCTTTGCCTTCTTGATGCTGCCACTCAGCTGGACATAATTGTCTTGGATCAGGGTGTTGTCTGTCTCAATAGCTGGGAACACCATCCGTGCATTGTGGGCTATAATCCATACCCTCTGTGCTTGCTGCGAGACAGGAGCCAAGTTTTCAGCTTCAGTGCAGGTAGAACCTTAGGAAAAGGGTCAAAACATGAAACTCTAGGAGTGGGTAGTGAAGAGTTGGTGGTCACAGAGAGACTTGAGGTTTGGAATGATGATTTATGGCTGAGAGTCAGTGAGCGACCAATACAAGGGGTGTGATGTCTGCACTGTGGCATTTGAAACAGAGCACATTCCTCTTCTGAAGGGTTTAGTTTGTTGCTTCCAGTAACTTTAGGAGGACTCAAGGGAATGGATAGTTGCTTATGGCAAGGAGCAGCCACCCAATGGAAAGGGCTTGGCCATGCACTGTGCTTACATAGCCCAGACAAGTGATGGAGGTGAGGGTAGAGAGAAACAGCCTTGTCTCACAGGGGTTGGAGGTGGTGGAAAAAGAGGGGGAATGACTTGTCCACATGTTTGCCTCTCTGCTCACTAGAGGATGGCAGAAATTCAGCATGTTTTAAAACAGGTTTGCATTTCAGTGTCCTTGAAATCAAGATAACACCCTGGAAGTGTTCCAGGCCAGGTTGGATGGGGCTTGAAGCAACCTGGGCTAGTGGAAGGTGTTCCTGTCCATGGCACGAGGTGGAACTGGATGATCGCTCTGTTCCAGATGGGGCTTGAAGCAACCTGGGCTAGTGGAAGGTGTTCCTGTCCATGGCACGAGGTGGAACTGGATGATCTTTAACATCTCTTCCAACCCAAACCATTCTATGGTCGAACATCAGGTGGTGAAGAGAGGGGAAATGTTCATCTCAATGACATGTGCTTCTGAGTCTTGGGGATCACAGTTTTTTTCTCTTACACTTTGTAGATGTCATATAGAGAAGCAGAATCTGTCCCAGGGACAGTTGAGGCTCCTACGGACAGAGCATCACAGCATCACATCTTCACATCTCAAATGAGCAAGACCAATAGATTTATGTGGTAGAAACGGGGTGAGAATGATAAGTTGTATGTAATTGCTGTAGACAGGAAGAAATAAACATAGATACTTTTGTTCCCTTTTCCAGGCTGGTACCGAGGATACACACTCAGGAATAAGGCTAAGAAGGTATGACCTCACTGCTCTGTGACTCTTATTTTCATTTCACGCCCTGCCAGACTGTAATCTGCTGTATTTCTTGTCTTAATATTGTGCAGATCTCCTGATCACTGTGTCCTTTTCCTTAGCAACAGAAATAAATGCCCTTGAGCTAAGACTTTCAGAGCCATGAGCTGAGTATTCCTCCACGGGAACTATGAGTAATGCAGTTGGAACTTCCAAGCTTGCCTGTTGCACATCTGTATGCATTACCTTATTGCTGTATTATTATGCTCTTGGTCCTGGGTACATCCAGCATTAGTTATATTTAATGGGAATATCAGAGTTTTGATTTGACTTGGAAAAGTTTCCAGGAGTTGGAGATGCTGGACCTCAGCCAAGCTGCTAGAGGTTTGTGATCCCAAGTCTACATGGAAATTGGGGTTCCCATAGGAATCTTGACACCTCTGTTGTGGTAACATCCCTCATTTTTCAGGCATGAAAAGGGAACAGAAAAGGATTGCAGCACTCCTGGAAGGTTTCTCTCAAATAATGCCAGTTTGGGAGTTCTACAGATGTTGTCAGGAGCTTTCCTAGAGAGCCACAGGTCCAGGGCAGCCTGACAGATACCTCCAGGAATATTCCATAGCAAGGGCAAATGAATGTGATAGTTTGCAAGAGTTTACAGCATTCTATGCAGGAAGATGAGTGTCATTGCAGAAAAACAAGGAATTGACTCCTCTGAGGTGCCAATATCAAATACAATGCTCAAACATTGAACCTGCTGCTCCTTACAGTCTATTTTCCTGTGATACTGAGACTTTTTTCCCCTGCTTTCTGTTAAATATATCTTTCTAATGGCCTATGCCATGGTTTGACATCATTTATTTTGCATCTCTATTTTAGGGCATTTTCCCAGAAACATATATCCATTTGAAGGAGGCAATCGTGAAGGACCGAGGGTAGGTTGGCACTCCTTCAGTTGTGCTTCTGGCAGCAAACCCAAAGCAATGCCCTTTCCTTTCAACCCCAAAAATAACCAATTGAAGCAGTTGTGGTGGTAATAAATGCTTGTGGTGTGTGTTTGTCTAAGCAGGGTGTACCTCCTGGGCTAGACTTGTAGAGCTGCATAACTTCATTCTTCAGAGCACTGACATACCAGAGCTGTTGTGGCATAGGTGCAGGAGACTCCTTGTGAAAGGAAGGAAGCTCTGCTAGACAAGTTAATAGTGAGGGAGGTCACTCAAGATCCATTGAGCTCCTCTGGGGACTTCTGCAAGTCATAACAGACTCCTGCTTGCAGCCAAGTGCTCAGCAGGAGTGTGGATTCCTTCCTGTCTTGGAAGGCATTAAGGAAATGACTCCTCATTTATTTCCTAGAGCTGATTTTCTGATCATTAGAGCGAGAGAAAACAGTTGCAAAGGAAGAAACTTTATAAAGTACTTAATTTTATGTCTATTTTTTAAAATAACAGTTAGAATTGCAAGTGCTGATTCTTCTAAACTTAAATTCTGTCGGTTTATTCTGTTCCTGGAATGGATCCATGGAGAATAACAGGACTGAAAGAAACCTGAGCCACGTTTGCATTGAATATGGATAATGACTGTGTATGTATGTAGTAGAAAAGCAATTGAACCAGTTAAGAATCTTGATGTGTGTGAGTGAATTGCGTGCAAATCACCCCCTCTAAAACTGCCATTTACATATTGATCACAAAAGGATGTTTTACTATGGAGTTTTAATCCTGAGTGGAACAACTTCTGGTTTGTTTTTTTTTCTCTAGACAACATGAAACTGTGATTCCCAGTGAATTGCCCCTTGGCCAGGAACTCACTTCCACCCTGAGGGAATGGGCAGTTATCTGGCACAAGTTATATGTGGTGAGCTTTCAGCAGTGCTTGGTGTTTGATGACATGACTCAGAGGAGATGAGGCTGAGCTTTTTTGCAGGGCACTTTGTGCTTCTGAATGGTATGTTCTGCAGCATTGTAAAACTTCCAGTATGGTATCATTAGCCTTCAGAGAGGCTAAAAGTGTTGTGCTCTCCACTGAATGGGATGTGGGATCACAGAGCTGAGGTTTAGTCTGAGCTGCAGGGTTTATTGTGCTGGAATAATGGTGTGATGACTCAGCACTGATGCAGCACTGACTGGCACAGGTCACATAGTATCGTGTCAGCTGCTTGAGGCTGTGTGAGTCACAGCTCGGTGGTAAAGTCAGGGTTTCTGCTTTGCCTGGCCCTTGTCGACCTTGGGAGAGGGCAAGATCGCTCAACTGTGCAAGGAAACGTGATGTTTGAACAGAACTTTTAGCAGGGTGAACTCTGGTTTTTCAGAAGAGTGATGGAGTGGTTGATTCTCACCCCAAAGTGCCTTCAGCTCAAATAGGCAAGGCAAAGGATGGGAAGGGAATTAGAGCTGTGTGTGGTGGGGGAACATTTGACTTGTCAAAAGACACATCATAGAATATCCTGAGCTGGAAAGGACCCACCGGGGTCATCAATCCAACTCCTGTCCCTGCACGCCCCGACGCGACGATCCACCCTGTGCCTGAGAGCATTGGCCAAACGCTCCTGGAGCTCTGTCAGCCTTGGGGCTGTGCCCACTGTCCTGGGAGCTGTTCAGTGCCCAAACACCTCTGGGGGAAGAGCCTTCCCCTAATATCCAACCTAAATCTGCTCCAGTGCCCAACACACTCTGGGTGAAGAACCTTGTCCTAATATCCAACCTAACTCTCTCCTGACAGAGCTCCAGCCATTTCCTGGGGTCCTGTCCATGGTCACACAGAGCAGAGCTCCATGCTGTCTCTGCTGTCCCTCACGAGGAACTTGCAGACTGCTCTGAAGTCTCCCATGTGTTTAGTTCTCAGCAGGGTGGGGAAAGACCTCTCATCTACTGAATCTGCTAAGCATCATAGGAGTCACCTCAGCAAAGCAGAAGCCAAGGCAGGACATGGCTTTGGTGTTCTTGTTGAGGTAGCTCCATTCTCCGAGAACCAGCTGGAGCTCGCAATGAGTTGCCTTCTTTTGAAGGTGATTATAAGGCACATTAAAGAGTCAAACCTGATTTTTCTTCTCTCAGTAGCGAGTTCCGCCTGTGTAGGATGCGCTCCCATACTTTCATTAATATGAGAGTGTCTTGAAATTAGCTCTAACCATTCAGTGCACCCAGGGCAAGATTTCCTATTGAACGTTTCACCAGGCCACAAATACATTTTGTTTGTGCACCACAAAGCCACAAGAATTTGTTCCACCCTCTTAATTTAATGAGAACCTCTATGTAATGGAATTACTGTGTGAAAAGAGAGTTGTGTTCTTTCCTTTTTTTATTGCTGACTAACTTTCAGATCCTTCCTTCAGAATCTACTTTTCTTTAGAGCACAAACCTTTCATGTTCCTCTGCTTAACCAATATAAGTCTTAAAATAGCCTTGGAAAATGTTGTGGTTTTAAATGGATTTGAGTTTATTTGATTTTCCCTTGCAGTATGTATAAAAAGAAAAGGGGAAAAAAAAGCTAAAGAAGGGAGAGGTATTTGAGGAGAAAAAAACTGGGTGTTTTTTTTCTGTCTTTGGCAGCATTTAATTTCACTTCTTTAATTTCTGTGGGTTCCAGCAAACATTGTAGCAGTGGCTTTAGCTGCCCTGCAAAATAGATAGTAAAATGGAGTTTCTAACTTGGTTTAATAATAGGAATTAACTCGTGTAAACAGCTGTGGAGATAATTCAGCTTTAGCTGATCTCACACTGAGATCTGCTCCGTGTTCCCCTGGAAGCTCACACAAATTGCCTTCTCTTTGCAAGTGTTTTTATGCAGGAACACACTTTTTTCTTTATTGAATATGGCTCTAGTATCTTTCTTACACGAATCAAAACCTCAGCATTTCATCAATCACTGGCTTAAAATGGTCCCTTTTTCCCTGCAGACTAACAAGACAACTCAGTTCCGACACGTCCAGCAGCTCACCTACAGCCTGATAGAGTGGAGATCACAGATCCTTTCAGGAACACTGCCCAAGGATGAGCTGGCTGAGCTCAAGAAGAAAGTCACTGCCAAGATTGACTATGGCAACAGGTAAACTCCAAATTCTGTCTGGAGGGAGAATCCCAAATCCCAGTAAAGACTCGAGATAGCTGTTAATCCAAAATGTCAGTGACACTTTTAGTTAGAGCTCCCTTGAGATTCTGGGGGGAAATATGAGTCGTTTGTATCAGTCATGATCTCTGCAGAGATGAGAATGGGGAAATAGTTGACATTGGTTTCTCTTTCTGCTGTGTGGGAGCAGCTGAGGTTTGTAGTTGAACATGAACAGTTCTGGCACAAATACTGACCCCAGGCAGCACCAGCAATGTACCCCTGGCCAGTTCCCACTGGCTGTGGTTGAGATGTGCTCAAAACCCTCTTGATAGTCATTTGCCAAGATTGACTGTGGCAACAGATAAACTCCAAACTCTGCCTGGAGGGGAGAATCCCAAATCCCAGTAAAGGCTTGAGATGGCTGTTAGTCCAAGATGTCAGTGACCACATAAGGGTGAGTTAGGCTTCCATGCTCCCTTGGAAAGGGAATAGTGACAGCTTTGAGTGCCCATCCCAATGTGACTGCCTGGCAGGTGGGCATGTAGCTGTTGGTTCTTCATGTGCCAGCAATCCCTTTGACTTGGCAGGAAGCCTTACCTGTCTGAATTCTGCATCAGTGGTGGCGTTTCCCATGGAGCACAGTTTGGGCCTGGCTAGCTGGAGCCAGGAGTTGCGTGCTGTCATGGTTTAACCCCAAGCAGCCACCAAACACCACGCAGCCACTCACTCACTCCCCCACCAGTGGGATGGGGGAGAGAATCGGAAGGGTAAAAGCTACAAAAACCCATGGGTTGAGATAAAGACAGTTTGATAGAGAAAGCAAAAGCTGCACACACAAGCAAAGCAAGGAATGAATTCACTGCTTCCCACAGACAGGAGGTGTTCAGCCATCTCCAGGAGAGCAGGGCCCATCACATGTAACAGTTCCTTGGGAAGACAAACACCATCACTCCAGATGTTTCCCCCTTCCTCCTTCTTCCTCCCATCTTATATACTGAGCATGATGTCCGAATATCCCTTGGGTCAGTTTGGGTCACCTGTCCCAGCTGTGTCTCCTCCCAGTCTCCCATGCATCCCCAACTCCCTCCCCAGTGTGGCAGTGTGGAAAGCAGCAAAGGCCTTGGCTCTGTGTGAGCTCTGCTCAGCAATAACAAAAACATCTCTGCATTATCAACTCTGTGTTCTGCACAAAACCCAAACATAGCCCCATACTAGCCACTGGGAAGAAAGTTAACTCCACTTCAGCCCAAACCAGCACAGATGCTGATGGTGAAATACACTGCTTTATCAGCAGCTGGGGAGTAGGATTCTATAGGCCATCAAAGCTCCAGCTTGCATAGGTTTGCACAAAACAGGGAGTGTCTCCAGAACTAATTTATCTGCCTGTCAGACTTGATTCAAGTCAAACAAGTCAATTAAGAAGAAAGCTCATGACGAAGAATAATAATCAGCTGGATTCCATAACCTGAGAGATAGGCATACACCTCTTAAAACAAAGCCCTTTCACCAAGAACAAGGGAGATGTCATCTTAGAATGCTTACCTGACTAATTCTTTCTCCCTTTAATGGGAAAATGGGTGAGGAATCTTTTCAGACAGGAAAAGCAGCAGAGTGGGTATTACAGGCAGTGTGGGTGCCGTGCATTGGCAGCCTCATGCAGTCCAGTTTGAGCTGTGCTTTGTGCTCCTGAAATGACCTTTGCCTGCTCACAGATTGTGTTGTTTTTTTCATCTGCTGTGCTGTTCAGGATCTTGGGTCTGGACCTGGTTGTACGAGATGACAATGGGAACATCCTGGACCCAGATGAAACAAGCACAATCTCTCTCTTCAAGGCTCATGAAACTGCATCCAAAAGGATTGATGAAAGAATCCAGGAGGAGAAGGTACATCTCTTGAGGCTGATTTGTCCTCTTCAAATCCTACCCATTGTATTTTTACATCCCTCTATAGGATATTGTGGCCCTTTGGCAGCAGAACTAGATTCCTCTGTGCTGATTTGTAATGGAAGTCTTGCCCTTCTGTGCAGTCCCTGCAGCAGAGCCTGGATCTCCGTGGGCAGCCAATATTCAACTCCACACACACATACAGCCTCTATGTCAACTTCAAGAATTTTGTCTGCAATATTGGAGAGGATGCAGAGCTCTTAATGAGCCTCTATGACCCTGATCTCTCCAAGTTCATCAGGTAGGGGTATTTTTTTTGTAGATGCATAAGCAATTTAGGCATCACATTGGTCATTATAAAGAAGCCAATAAGGATTAGAAAGAAAGATTCAGCATATGAGTTTGTCAGTTGTGTTGATTGCTGCTCCGGTGGGGGGAAATTAATCCCAATTAACTTGGAATTAATGTCAGATGGAATGGGAAGTGAAGGATCTGAGCCCATGCACTCCCCTTAACACTGAGGATTCTGTGATCCATCAGCCAAGAGCCCAGATTGGCTTCTCATGTTCTTAATTTTCCCTGCTGTGGTCACAAGACTTGATGCACTTCATTGTTTCCCAATAAATTATGTATATGTGAGATGTTTGCTGTCCATTCAGTGCAAGCTCACATCCGAGAGCTGAGCATCTTGTCCTGGTAGGGGAAGATATGAAGACCTTTATCAGGGAAGGATGTGTGTGTCAGGAACAATCTGTCTCCATCATTGCAGCTATAAGGTACAATCAGAGCTCTTGAAGCAGCTGAGGCTGCTCCCATCATTCCTGCCTAAAGCCTTCCCTGAAATCATCTTTCAGTGTCATTTTGGGATAAAAGATTTTGGCAGAATATTTCAAATGTTCCTAAGAGATCAAAAATGGTTTTAAGCTCGTGCCAGGCAATGGGAATGTCAGGTGCTGATGGATTGAAATTGCTTTTTTGATTCCTTTATTTGCAGTGAGAATTACCTGGTACGTTGGGGCAGCAATGGGATGCCTAAGGAAATTGAGAAACTAAACAACCTTCAAGCAGTTTTTACAGTAAGTTCTTAGAATCATAGAATCCCAGACTGGTTTGGGTTGGAAGGACAGTAAAGCTCATCCAGTCCCACCCTTACCATGGGCAGGGACACCTTCTACCAGGCCAGGTTGCTCCAAGCCCCATCCAACCTGGCCTGGGACACTGCCAGGGATGGAGCAGCCAGAGCTGCTCTGGACATCAGCAAAGCCTTTGACACTGTCTCCCATAGCATACTCCTGGAAAAGCTGGCAGCACATGGCCTGGACAGGGGCACTCTCTGCTGGGTTAAGAACTGGCTGATGGCCCAGAGAGTGGTGTGCTTCTTCCTTTTTTAAGTTGGATAATTCACTGTTATTTATAACTGCAGCATTAACCATTGTGTAATATGCTTTGATATCTTTAATATCTTTGTTGATGATTTGGATGAGGGGATTGAGTGCATCATCAGCAAGTGTGCACATGACACAAAGTTGGGGTGAGTGTGGATCTGCTGGACAGCAGGAGGGCTCTGCAGAGGGACCTGGATAGGTTGGAGAGCTTGGCTGCATCCAATGGGATGAGGTGTAACAAGGCC